CAGTCATTTACTTATAATAAACTGGTAAAAAAAACATATTTATAACAATGAGAGGTTTTAAATAAACTTAAAAAAAAAAAAAACCTATTGCTTTTCAGAGAATGAGGCTTAATTCTTTTATACAGACAACTTAATGACAGCTGTTGAGAGCTCCTTTCATACACTTTCAAGCATGCAATCACTTTTTTAAATTCTAATGCTATTGATTGCCAAATTTTTAAAGGCAAAATATTACAGGTAAAGCCATGATCTATCACTAAGAAATACTGACCATGGTTTTGTGCAAGCCAGTGATTAATACTGAGCAAAGATAATGGTATATCTTATATAAAAATAATGTTTATAGAAAATGGGCATCCATCCACAGTTTATTTGTACATGAAGAAAAAGCCTGGAAGCTATTACAAGTGCCCTCAAAAAAGAAGTGAAGTAATTGTAATGTATTTTCTGCCCACGTTTTTCATAAGTCAAGCTTCCATTTTCTTCCTTTATTGTTTACAAAGCTTCTGATCTCCCCTAAAATAAAGTATCCTGAATATGTAGCTGTACACTGTCCCTCATAGTTGATGGAAGTCAGGCTATAGTATGATGCTTTGAAGGGAATCAATAGATTAGAATTCTGGCTTGCATAGAATAGCATGAGTATGCTGAAATAAAATCTGGGTTCAGTTATATATGTGATTCACTGGTCAAAGTGTTCCAAAACTGACTAGTACAAAATGAAATGAAAAGGGTATAAATGATATAGAGCATGAATTAACAGATGAAAAGAAAGGAAAAATGGATAGATTCTATATCTGTAAAACTAAGAAAGGAAAGTCTATGTTAGACTTGAATGATGCTAAGCTGATCCATTCAGGGGAGAGAAGGTGTAGGTATAATTATGAATGAAAGAACTAAAATGTATATCAGAAACTATGAAATGGTGTCATTTAGCTTGTTGAGGGTCCATATGAAAGTAGAAAACCATAGGTAGCTGAGAAAGCAGGGATAGGTTTGGGGAATAATTGTGTAGCATTCTGAATAAATGCAACCTGGAGGAAAATTTAAGTATTGGGAGTGGTGTCCTGCTAGATGCTTAAGAACCAGCTTTGTCTGTTCTATTGCTACCATTGTACTGCACTGCTAGCTGCGGAATAGCTGATTGGCATGCCAGGTTTCAAGGTTCATCTTTGCTATAACTGGCTTGCAAAATTCCAGATAATTTAACAATCAGCCCTTGTGAGCCAGTGTGAGCCAACTCCAGCTCACTGCTGGGTGTTCTTAACATGAATGGCTGGATTGGAACAAAATGTGAGAGTAGAAAAAAAAATTCAGAGAACTCAAGAATTACAGACAATAATGATGTAAGCATCCGCTTAGGAGAAAGTTTGTTTCTTTCAAATGAGTGGTTTAAGCATAAGACTCTATATGTACACATGGAAAAGGAATGAATAAAAAACATAAATTATTTGGTTGTTTATAATGAAAGATTGATGGACTTAATTAAAAAGCAATTTTGATGGAAATTAGAAATGGTTTTGGAACTGGGTGAAAATGACTAAACAAGAAGCTTTCAGCAGAGGAAATAGAATTTAAAATAAAAACAATGAAATGATGTGGGATGAAACTGAAGTAAGGAATAAAAGAGCATTTTAGAAATGGGTGTGGGAATGATAGAGTTATGTTAAAGAGTGAAATTTAAACAAAGGTCATAAATGTTAGTGTCCAGGGGAAAAAAGATGTAAAAGAAGTCATTAATGCTGTGAGAATGTTGAAAAATGTATGGCAGCAAATGCACAGTATAACTGGGGAAGTATTAAAATATTTAACCCCAATTTGGTGTAGTGGTTAAGGTCCTGGGCTAGAAAGTGGGAGGCTGTGAGTTCTCGTCCTTCCTTAGGCCTGAAGGCATTCATAGAAGAAGAATATGATAAAGTGAAAATTATTATTAATTTTATTATAAAATAATTAATTTTAATTATTAATTAAAAATATTAAATTATGGAATGTTTTTCATGAACATGGGGTTCATGGGTGGTTACTGAATGTAATAAGAGCAATAAGAGCAATAGATGATAAAGGAAAGCATGCATGACAGTAAATTAAATACGATGTTGAATTGTTCAACATAGACCTAGACCTGGAATTAAGACAAAGTTGTGCAATGTGTCTTTGGTTCTTTAATGCATTTATAAATAAATATGTACGCAATGCTTGTGGTGACATTAGAGGTATGTTGGTTGGAGATATAAATGAGCATATAATTTTGTATGCAGAAATCATTGCTTATTGGCTAATGTTCTGAATAATTTATAGCAGGTGTGGGACAGAGGTTGAACACAGATCTGAAGATTAACCAAATACCAAGGCAGAGTGTTTGGCAGAGAAAATAGAGAGAATTGCTTTAAGTTATACAGTATATAATTTTTTCAAACTAGAGCAGGTAGAAGAATTTGGGTATATTTATAGAATGTTTACTAAAGATGGTAAAATGGAAGAATACATTTTAATATGTGCAAATGCTGATAGAAAGGCAATGGTTATAGGTGGCGTGTTGCAAGGAATGAATGTTTGTCTAAAGAACAACAATGTCTCTAAATAAGAGCATCCTTCCGCCTGTTTTGTGGATTGAGTAGACAAGTGATCAGTACAAAAGAAATTCATTGAGGTTGTTTGGTCATATAAAGAGAAGAAATTAGGACTCTATTGCAAATTAATATATATAAAGACAGTAAATGTTTGAGAGGAAAGGGAAGATTGAGAAAGTCATGGTTGACTAGAGTTGATAAGTTTCTCAAAAAGGGAGAGTTCAAAAACAAAAGGCAGTATGAATTAGTGTATGGATAAGTTAAAAGCAAGGATGGCTTTCTAGAATGGAAACTGACAAAGAGGCATGATGAATGTTATTTGTGTAAATCTGTTTTATTTATATTTTTTTCTCTTTTCCTTCTTTCATGCCTTAATTTCTTTCCTCACTATTCCTTCCTCCTTTTCTGCTCTTTTTATAATATTGCTTACCCTAAATGGAGCAGCATGATTGGTGTGATGTATGTAAAATAAAATACAGTACAATCATGGTGTACTGATTCAAACAGCAAAATAAAAGCTTCAGGTACTCCTGGAGCTGCTTAATTTCAAAGTCCCTCCCCCCCTGCTTTACACAAGAAAGGAATAACTGCTTATTTTGCTGCACACTAAGAAAGGGAATTCCTTAGAATTTTACTCAATAGCATGTAGATGATTTTCAGAAAATAAAGAAGTTACATATGTCAACTTCTGTGCTGCCTCTTGCTATACACAATATGAATATGCTTCATATTAGGGAGTGTGAAATATGCTTAGCTACAAATTGCCAGATGGTACTGATGCATCAGTTAGTTACCAATTTTACATTGACTTATGCGCAAAATAGAAAAAAATGTAGTGCAATTGTTCTGCGTTCATCCCTTGAAATCTTTTAAATCACTTTAAAAAAAACACAGAACTTTAATTACAAAATTGCTTTGTACTTTCCAGATTACAGAGGATCTGATTAAATGCATTATTGTTGCGTTATGCCCATGCACAATCACACAAGTTAGATAAGCCTGACATTAAGTGGCCAACTTAGTATAGCTTTATGGTCCAGAGGAAGCACATACACGTTTTGATGTTCTCCCTCTGTTCTCCATCACTTCCATGTGGATCCTCCCAACTCTCTGTTTTAAACCTTTGGCCTGGGAAGGTGTCATTCTTTTTTTGTATTCATGAGGGAACAAAAAAGAGAGAGAGACTGGAGAGAGTGAGACTCATCGGTGTGCACAATCATACTTTAAATGTAGTGATCTCTTCACCTACATTGTTCACTTACTGGAAAAGGGAAGGGGCTGCTTAATTCTTCAAAAAAAAAAAACTCTTGAATAGGGCTAAGATCCATTTAGCTCAGTGTTTTTCAAACTTGGGAACTTTAAGATGTGTGGACTCCAACTCCCAGAATTCCCTAGCCAGCATGATGGCTGGGGAATTCTGGGAGTTAGAGTCCACACATCTTAAAGTTGCTAACTTTGAAAAACACTGATTTAGTTGCATTCCAGAATATGTCACTATCTCTTCCTTGCTTGGCATTTTATTGGTTACCAAGATATGTAAACTGTAGCACTCTGAATGTTTCAAATTATACCTCCCAGCAACTCCTGCCACTGATCATACTCCAATGCATACTGAGTTATAATTCAGCAATATCTAAAGGGCCACAGTTTACCTATCCCCGTTGGTTACTTTAATTATATTTTTGTTAACATATGCTAATCCAAGTTCTTCCTCATCTGTTCCCAGCCTTCATCAGTGATCTGAAAATTTCTATTGGTTTTGTTTTTCTTAATTCACACACTAAAATGTCTCCCTCTAACCTACAGTTATGCATAATTCGTTTTAGTCTACAGAGCTTACTCTGAACCTACCACAGAAGCATACCCAGCCTAAAGCCCATGGATTTGCTATTCTCTTCTTTATCTAATTTAACTGGGCATCTTCATACTATATCATTGGGACTATATCCAGAATCTTAGCTTTATCTAACTGTAAGATTAAGAAAAGCCATCAAAACCTGGCTGCTTCAAACAGGTCCTGGGGGTCGATATATTATGAGGTGAATCCTTTCAGCAGTAGGAATGTTCTATTATATTAAAAATTACAGTTTTAATAGAAGTTTTAAAGGTCTCTATGGATTGCACCCAGGCATTTGGGAGCTGTCCCGGCCTTGAGGCAAACCAGCTGCTCCTACTTCCTGATCTAAAAAAGTCATATAGGTGGAATTCCTCAACTGCCCCTTAACTAAAGTAAGTGCCATAGGCCTGTTTTCTCCCTATGAAAATGTTCTTTTTCTTTGGTAAAAAATGAAATTCATTCAATTTTTTAAATTTAAAATGTGCCACACAATATTGATCAGTTTATCTTCAAAGCTTATCAGTGTTTGAATGAAATAGATTCATGCTTTTTTTTTTTTTTTTTTGCACTCAAATATTTCATTTGTCTTTCAGGCCCATGTCTCCCTAATCCCTGCCATAACGGTGGAACATGTGAAATCAGTGAAGCCTACAGAGGAGACACATTCATAGGCTACCTCTGCAAATGTCCAGTGGGATTTAATGGAATACACTGCCAGCACAGTAAGTTTTAAAATGGTACTTACCTTTCCTGCTCTGTGAGAAAATACCTACAACTGCTATTCTGCATAGTCATGCACTTACTAAATGTGCTTGACCCAACAGACCTCTTTGCCTGTTAACTATGGATGTGTCAGGGCATCAGGATCCTTGCTAGACTCTTCCACAAGTTTTTTTGTAATTTTTGTTGCAATGACAGTAGCAATCTTCATGCTTCACTTCTTCCCATAAAATCAAGATAAGATTCTTTCCCTTTTTTTTTTCTTTTTTATATTTAAGGGGTATCAGAAAATGGGATATTGCAATTTCTTTTAGAGCTCAGGGCTTTATCCTGATGTTGTCAGCAGTTCATTCAGCTAATGATGGCTGAAGATGAAAAGGGTTGTTAAAAAGTAGATATTTATGGTAATAGGTTTCCTATATCCTCTGTTTCTGCCCATTTTAAAACTAACCCAAGACAGGTGCTGTTAGCCATGTTATTTAATTGAATAGGAAAAGTTTCCTGAGGGCTTTATTAATAGATGTTCTGGATTTTTCTACCATTAGTTAAAAGCCCAGCACTACTTCTATCTAAAATTCATTATAGCTAGTCAGGAAAAGTAAATTATGAATCAGACAATTTAGTTCACTTTCTCTTATTACTCTGGAATTAAGTAAATGAAGGGCTTCTGTATGTGGTCCATACCAACTTTTCTCAATCATTTACTTTAGTGGACTAGCTATTCATGAAAACAAATATCCCAACTCATTTTCATTTTCTGTGTAGATGATGTAACTGGCAGAAACTGGAGAGTCTCTGGACTCACATTAAAATAGTTCTGCATTGAATCTCCAGTCTGCTCAGTGAGTTGTATTTCTGAGTGGACAAAGGATTAAAATAAACTTTCTGAATCCTATTCTTTTGCAAATGGCTTCCAATGTTTATTTTAATTGCAATTCTGAACAGGGAAAAATTGTTTTCAAAATAGTGTATCTTGATTTTTTAACTTAATTCTGTAATTATTAAATAGAAATAGTATTGCCATAGTACAAGGAAAATAGCCAATTCAAAAGCATCCTCAATCATTATTTTTCCTAATCCAGTTACTTTTGCAATAAAACAGCTACACTAAGATGGAATCCTATGATTCTGTGGGTGAAATGCAATACCTTGTAAGTGTTATGCCTGAGAGCTTTGCCTTATTATTATTTTAATAGTCATAAAAGATTTCTAATGTTTCGATAGAGTTATCACTGGGCAACCATTAGATGCCTTTATTTACTTATTTATTTAAAGATTTATAAGGCTGCCCAACTCAGAAAATGTAACTCTGGGCAGCGTACAACATAAACACACCATCATCATCATCCAACAACAAACAATCAATATATAAATGCAAAAATTTAAAAGCTAATATTTTAAATGGAAACCAAGCACAGAACAAAACAAACTCCCACTCAGCTGACTATGTAAAGCCATATGTTAAACTATAATTAGGACTGGTAAAGAATAAGTGGTAATCAAGTAACAAAATGCTGTGGTGCAGATTCTTTTATAAATTCTTCCATTCATAGTTCATTTGTAGTTCATTGTTTTCCTCTTTCAAACGCCCCACTGGCAAATGAGTAGACCACCTCCCTTGCTATCAACCTAACCTACCAGGGGCTAGACAGGATTGCCTGAAGCTTAGTGGCACATAGTCTTGGCCAGCTGGGGATGGGGCATTATTAGAGGATACAATCACCTACTTTCAACAAAGGAACAGAAGTTCAGTAAACTCAAGGGAGCGCAGGGAATTTCCATTAAGCTTTATTCATTACAATTGCTTAAGCATTGCACACACTCATATTTATTTGCCTGTTACAGAACCAATCAGGTAATACATGGGTGTTGGGGAAGACAGGAGTACTCCACAGATAGTTGTGTACATAAATTGGGGGTCTTCTGACAGAGACCTGTGCTGCTTATCCTTTTATCCTTTGCCAGTAATGAAGTTCATACAGTATATTCCTTGTGTCACCGCAGCCTTTCTTCAACCACTACATGACCTGCTGCATGGCAGTTCTTATCTGGTAGCTGTCATTCCAGACTTTGTCTGATTTTGGTGGATTGTGTCCCTATGTCTTGTTGCATGGCAGTTCTTATTTCTGGTAGCTGGTATCCACATCTGTTTTCACTGCATCTATGAATTTTTCTTCAGATGTACAAATTTCATTCATCAATTTCTCCCAAGATTTTATTTCTTGTAAAATTTAAAAAGGCACTATGTGATATGGAGCCATTGTGGGCACACACATAGCACTTGTCAGAAACACCTTAAGCCAAATGCATATTTTCCCAAGATTGAGTGGCTTTTGCCACATAAGCCTAGGGAAAAATACAGCTGCTTAATAATTTTAAACAGAGATCTGCAACAAAGTGTGAAAAAAAAAATACCTGAACGAACATTACTACTTTAGCCAAAACTATGCAGCTGAACTGGTAGACACTCTAAACATTCTAAGAGTGTAAATAATTCATGAGTTTAACTTTACCACCCCATTAAACTTTGTTTAGCTGTTGTACTTCTCTGTATGCAGTTTTTTTTTTTCCTCTCCCAAACATAGCCCCTGCTATAACACAGAAGCTGGTCCTGAGTTTAAAAACTGATTCCCTCAGACAGTTGTGCAAGCAGACTCTCCTTCAGCTTCCAGAGAATTAATTTTAATCAAAGCTATTGCCATATCTTGGCAAGTTGGGGGGTGGGGAAGGATTCAAAGGAGGAATTTCCCTTCTAAATGGGCATCCAGTAAGAAGTATATGCCACTAATTATGAAATGTTTAGAGCTTTATTTCATGGAATCACAGAATCATACAGTTGGGAGCGACCTTGAAGTCTCTAGTCCAGTGTTTTTCAACCTTTAAGATATCTGGACTTCAACAGAATTTGCATAGCCAGGGTTTCAAAAGTTGTTATACCTCCTGGTCTTCTTCAAATTTTTTTTACTATATAATAGTTTTTTACCTACATTGCTTATAAGACTATTGTATGTTTTGTATTATAAATGTACTACTTATTGATGCCATTGATTCAGTTGTTCTAATAGCTGATATTTATTTTTGCTGAAAGCTGCTTTGAATGCTATATTTTATGGAAAAGCAGCATGTAACTAAAAAGCTAAAACAGTTCAGAGTAAAACAATCAACCAAAGCTACTAAACCAGAGTTCAGCTTGGCTGTCAGTATAATTCGAAATGCAAAGATGTTGTTATCTCCCAAAATACTTCAAAGTAGTTGGTTGAAACAGCAACTAAAAGCATTAAGTTCTACTCATTAGTCTAGACCATTAGTTTCACTCATCCAGCAAATGACCTCTTGAATTGGAGGAACTTATATTACGATGCCCAAATCAATTAAGACTATTCATGTAAATCCTTTCCTGTACTTTTTTTGGTCTTCTAATGGTGACTCATAATGAATCCCAATACTTCTGTTTTTATTATATTTTGATTACCTTTCAGTAGGAAAAAAATATGATGGCTATGACTGATACCTATAGAAAAGCTGTGGGCTGCTTTGGTAAGAAAAGCGGGGTAAAAAAGCTTCTAGAAAGCCTACTTGCAAGACCTTCTTCTGTCTGTGTTCCAAAAACCCTGACATTCAGAGGTTTATTCTTTAAAACCAACGAAGTTGGTGATTATCACTGTCCCATTTGTTGGAGGATACCATCATTTAACAATGTATCAAATACTTTCTTTTATATGAGTCTCCCACCATTTCACTTGATTGGTTGATTCTGTGTTTTAGTAATATGAAAGAGGGAATTTTCCACTTTTTTCACACCACGCAGAATTGTATGATTCTTCTATCATGTTCCTCTTTAGATTGTTATCCTTTTTGCAGCCATAAAACTTAACTTTAAATCAGATTAAAACAAAACCAAAACCAAAAACAATCTCAATGGATTTCTACAGGGAATTCTCAAACTAGTTCCTTTAGTTAGTTCCATCCAGAGTTGTTGGGAGTCAGGCGGCATATAAATTTAATAAATTATTGTTGATCATAAAGTCAGCCAGTTGTTTAGACTGGATTTGGATGATGATGATGATGATGATGATGATGATGATGATGATGATGATATGCCTCAGTCGTAAGTAAATAATTATATAAAATCAGTATTATAAAGTAGGAAGAAAAAAAAGAAAAATGTGTTTTCATCAATGGGGTTGGCTTCACACCTCAGACCAAATGCTAATTCTCATTTTTATCACTTAGTAGAATGTGTTTATCATAAAATGTGTAACTTAAGAGTTTTGTTTCAGCCTCTGTATCCAAACAAATGGAGCCTATATAATCCTTGAATATATTTTATTTCTCTACTGTCAATTTCTCTCCAATATCTTGGAAGGTATTGATTTATTCTGAACAGAGATTTAACAGTTTGTTCTTTTTTCAAGGAAAAACTTTTAAAAAATCATTTTGTATCAGATCAACACCATATCTTTCTTTGTTTTCTAGAAGTTTAGACAGAATATTTTGGTCCCTTTAGGCTATACTTCAGGTTTACACAGTTTTTTTAAAATGTACTCACAATCCCTTTAATTCTTGCAAAATGGGACTTTAGTGTTTGAAGGATGCCTGTAAGTTGAACGTTTGTGTTTTTTATCACTGAATCAAAACTAGAAGGTACCATGTAAGTAAACAGAAATAGTTTTAAAGTGAAAAATGAACCTGAGCATAGTTTATTGGAAGAGAAGGAAACTCAGTCAAGCAAAGCCAGTATATTTGAACAATGAATAAATGTTTCACTGGATGTGGTTCCCATTATATATTTTCAATTAATACCTAAGAATAATGTAGGCTTATCTTAATGGCTTGCCTTTCCATTTAAACTGAACTGAAGAGCCAAGCTAGTAGTTGCTTTCCATCTGGCTTGCACATCGCCTAACGGTTGCATTGCTGCTGCCTGGCAGTATTCATAGGGCTACTGGATCTGGGCTGCCAAACACCAGATGACTAGTAGATGGCTGTAGAAAGATACAGAAGACTGTTGTTGCCAATAATTAATAGATTTTTACAACCCAGATCCATTAGTCCTACAAGTACTCATTGTTTGAAAGTTGGATATAGACCTCAGTTCTTCAAAATATGGTGGCACAGATGATGCCATACAATTCCACAGACTGCATTAGCACAACATGGTAAATTATTAAAGTCAATTAATACAAATGTGCTCATTGGCTCCTTCTTTCTGAGTGGAGAAGCTATTAAAATAATCATCTGTAGTTTATTTACTGTTTAGGGTGTCATGTGTACAATGATTATATTACATAGATCTGAAATTATAGACTACAGACAACTACAGACAGAGCATGTGAACAGGTTGGGGTATTATAGGCAACTGATGGGACTAGCAGTAACGTTTGCTGGCAGTTTGCTTTTCACAAGAAATCTGTGTTCTCTTGAAATGATTTCTGTTTGTAGACCAGAATTGTTCTTACAGATTTGAATATTTCTGTAAGTAGTGATGACTGATAATGCATTGACTCTCTTTAAGGTAATCTCATTTGTGTCCTGGTCATATATATAAATAGTCAGTCATGGTAATAGGGTTCAAGGAAGATAATGGTAATTGTTGCCGTGAAGGCATATTTTTAATGTGTGAAATTACAGTGAAAATAAGTTAATGAATTACTGTGATTGCTATCTCAGTGTATATTAAAAGCAGTTAGAAAGAAGGAATAGTATTAGCTCTCTCTGTGTAACTTAGAAAAGTTTCAATTTTTCAACCAACAAAAAAAGAAAAAAAAATCAGTTATGTGCAAAATCCAGTGCTACCAAATTTGAACCATTTCTGACTGGTTTTCTTGATAGGAATGTATCTTCATTTCAATCCAGGGGTGGGGGAACTACAACTTTTGAAGGACTCCATGCCGGACTTGCCTGGGGGGGTAGAAAGAGCTATTCTGTCCCACTTCTAGGATTCTCAGTACAACTGTTAAAATCTCATAGGAGTGCACATTTCCACAACTGAAGTCCTAGAGTGAAACTGACTGAATTTGGGCTTTTTGAGAGTTACTGAAAAATAGTTATGTTATGCTGGAGTTGTTTGTGGTCCAAAGAATAAAATTTTGAGAATGCTAATTGAATAACAGGAAACATGAAAAAGGACAGGTGAAAGTGAAAGTGAATACCTGTTTTTAAGTTTTTCTCTTTAAAATGTCTTTTTTATTTTTTTCTAATTCAAATTTGGTATGGGGGAGACAAATTTGATGCATGTGGGAAGGGGAAGCTAGGAAAAGTTAGAAAATAGATTTAGCCAGAGGCTCTAGAGGAAAACATTCCAGAAAAATATTGTCCAATGCATCCTTGTGGCTCTGTTGGGCAGCAACTCAGAATGTTGTTGATTGTGTCATGCTAAGCCCCTCTGTCTCCTTCCATCTGGTCATGAGAACTAGTTCAGAGTATATGCAGCTTGCCCTCTTTCTCAACACACACAAATCCACCCAGATACAACACGAGGAGAGAGCAGAAACATATATCCAGAGATGCAATATATTATTACTTGGTAACCCAAAAACAAGAGGTTGGAAGGAATTCCAGAAGAGTTGGGCAACATAGAGTAGGGTACCAACTGCAGCATTTTGATATTATGCAACATCTGAGTTTTTGGAGTACCAATAATATACCTTCTTGTTCCAATTATTTTGCAGTTTTGTTTTCATGGACTCAGTTTAAGCAAAATTCAGGGTTTTTTTTTGTTTTGTTTTTGTTTAAATGAGAAGGATTTGAGAATGTAACCGACTGTTCCATGGAAACCAATGCAGATGTTAAAATGCTTTTCTTGACTATATAATGTTCCATTTTTTATTACCAGCATATTGCCTGGCTCTTAATTACATATGTGAGAAAGACAGAAGTCTGTAGGATTTTTTCTTCACTGAAAACACATTTATACTTTATATAGGCAATCTCTCCAAGCATTGGACTTGTTCTGATAATGGAGTTTTTTTTTTTACTAAGGATTTAATTCCTTCCCCACAGATGTGAATGAATGTGAAGCTGAACCCTGCAAGAATGGTGGCATTTGTACAGATCTGGTAGCTAACTATTCCTGTGAGTGCCCAGGTGAATTCATGGGGAGAAATTGCCAATATAGTAAGTATACATTACAACATACAGATTTCACTCTGATTGTCCTAGTGCTAGTGTGTAAGTGTTGTGAACTAATATGTTATATCAATGGAAGACAATCAAGAAGCATAACATTTAAATGAAGGTAATATAAAATTGGCTGAACTCATACCATCTCAGAGTTTTGATTGATGACTACCATTTTAGAATCACTGAGCAGCTTTCTCTCCATTCCACTTTCTCTTTTAGTAGGATAATTTTTTATAATCAATTTCAGAAACGGTTCACACAATTTTGTACATTTTCTTCTTCTCTTTCATTTTTTTCCCTTGTAAAAAGAAGATAGACAGACAGACAGACAGACAGACAATGTATGATCACATTTCTCTTTGGGAAGTTGTTTTACAATATTTATGTATTCATCTTTTGATTCTAGGAAGGGAGGAAGCAATATTTGCCAATTGCTCATTCCTTTTGTATCCTTGAAAAGCTTAAGGGATGTATGGATGCATATAGAAAGTTACACAGAGGAGAGAGACTAGGAGATTTCCCTGTCCTCTTTTTCCTCTAGTATAAGCATCTACTGGCTCTCAACCCCTTCAGGAGAAACTTTTATGGCCATCTCATGAGTTTCATGCCTCATCCATGATTAAAGCTTTCAAAGAAATAGGTTTGGTACACATTTTTATATGATAAGGCTGAGATGCACAAGATATTGTTGCAGTGCAAATTGATACCCCCATATGGTATGTTGGAATGTTGGGGTACAGTGTATATAGATTATGCTGATCTATATAGCAAAACATACATTCTGTTTTGAAAAATTATTTCATTCTTAGACCTCCATTAACTGCTGATAATTGTAAAGTGAATAATATGATGGACAGGTGATTTAACATTTCAGCCAGAGAAATGTTAAAAACCATTTAGAAAAATCAACCACAGACTTTCTGAAAACATTAGTTTAAGTTCCCTAAGTTTTAATATTCGTGAGCTATAAACATAAACTATGGCATACTGAAATGCTAACATGTAGTCTTAGTACAAGATTGTTCTCAGAGACATAATATTAATATAGAAAAGCTCCCTTTCTTTCACAAATGTTTATAGCATGTCAAAACCCTAACTGTGTAGCAATATTGAAATTACAAAAACTACCATTGCATATATTTATAGTAATTATGTAACTGAAAAATGTCATGCTACTTATATAAATCAATGATTTGCATAATATATATAATAAATTGTTCCTGCCTCTAATTAAACCAAGGTTTTCTCACTATAAATTTAACATACTTAAGCATTGACAGTTAGAAGAGATTTGTACAATTATGGACATCCAATGCAAGTTTTAGATCATGAAACAGATTTTCTATTGAGATATTTTCTATTAAGATAGTCTATTAAGATATGTGTTAACTTCATTTTGTTCTTGCTTTGAAATTAACTTGGAACATCTTCAACCCAGGACATTTTTGAAGTTTTGTATAGAGTGGTTGCTTGTAGGTCACTGTCAGGAGGTTTATATAAACTTATTTTCAAACAAATAAATTTTAGCCGTGTTATTACACTAGAGCACCCAGTTTGTCAAGCAAATAGAACAAGAAGTAGAGTATAATTCATTGGCTTTGATTATACTTTAGGGATAGAAGGACTCAAAAAAAAAAAAAAGCTTTTACTGCATTGGCACACCATACATATGCTGAAGATACATCCTTGGTGACAGGTTTTGCAAATTGAGACTCTGGAGAATTTGGGTTCTAGTGAAAAAGCAGTAAGACCTATATTGTAATAAAGGGAAAGTAATGCTTTCTCCCATACATATTCTGATAGAAAACCTGCCCTTCCATGCACATATGTGTTTTTTCCTAAATAGGACAAATGTTCACATTCTTCTAGGCTGCACCATTGTTTACCTACCCACAATTGCTGTTTGGAAATTTCAGAAATGGGTAGTGATCTTTTTGTTCAATGTTGGGCAGCCCAAGTGCAAGGAGGCCTATTATGCAACTGCTCTCCAAAACAAAGCTTGGGTAATATATCTGGGTCCATAGATAATATCTTCAGCCAATAGTTGAATACTTTAATTACTAGATGGCCTTGTATAGGGAGTATACCCGATTGTGCCTTTACTGCCGGAGTTGGTGCAGACTTGTACAGAAAATAGCCATGGGTCAGAAAAACACCTGCAAACCCTAAAAAGCAAAAATGAAATTTCCTAAAAACTGGTACAGTTAATTTACCAGTGTCATCCATTCCATTGCCTATGGATGATTCTTGCAGGAAATAAATAGGCACAAATAAAAGATAGCCATATTTGGAAGTAGTATAGGGACTTCTCTGTATTAATGCTTCCCTGCCTTAAATAAATGAGCACATGTTAACTATAATTATCTCATGTCCTGAGCCCTTGAAATATTTATTCACTCAAATCTCATTTGACTAAGCTGTTGAGGATTTGTGAAATATGATAGAAAAAAAAATCAAGCTAGAATCTCTCATCATTGCTGCATATTCTGCTATTAATGTCAACAATTTCTACATAATCTCCCTTATCTGTCTCTCCTCCCCCCCCCCCCCCCCCACTCCTTTTTTTATCATTTAAGGTATCACTTA